CCCCAATTTGAATACTTTGCCATGTCTAAGATGTGGTGATTGTCCAGCTCAAGTCAAATTTGTACAAACCGAACCATGCTTAGTGTACCAAGTCCGGTGATTCAGTCAATAACGGTGCCGACCACATCTTTCCGGTCCTCGGAGGGCACAAGGATAGTTACCCAAGTAGCAATTCAAGCTGAACATTAAGAACAGAAGCTGATTATTGGTTGATTTAAGGTGTACAAAGCTGACTAACATCAGGCTGAATATATAGTTGATTAGCAGTGCATGAAGCGAATTGTATCCCAATAATCCAACCTCAATAAGTTAGCTGATCTAAAGGTTGAACAAGCCTTATTTAAGCTTAACACAACTCCACAAATCAGCAATGCGTCAGCAATGTCAGTGTCTGTGTCACTCGTTGAATGTCCGGCATTTTAGTTCTTCTAAATTCACTGCCTACCTTTCTAATTACAAACAGTGACAGCAGTAGAGACAAGGAAAAGGAGATTTTTAGGAAAAGCTCCAGGTAGATGTAGGTTGTGTTTTGTGTTTTGTCTGTTATATTGCACTGAAGTTTTAGACCGCATTCCAAAAATATTACTCAATTATGTCCATTCTGCATTGCTGTATAATGCTCTTCCGGTTGCTATTATTCAACTTGAATTTGACGTGCTTCAAGTTAATGATCATACCTTTTGCCACAAACAAGCTTAAATGGTCCAGTAGGTATGGTTGACGCCTGTGAATCAGCGACTGCCGGTTCGAATCCCGAAATGCATAGGTAATTTTTAGACTCATATTAACAATATAAATATGTAAATCCAATTAGCCCGCAACAAGTTAAAGCAGTTCCATATAAATGCATAAGATATGGTCTTCCATTATTATTTCAAATCAAACTAATAGGCTGAACAAGGGTTGGAAAAGACTGTTATTTATGCCTTAAAAAGCTTATAACAACGTATATTACTGTTAAGCTTTTGGCTGATTAAAATCACCAGATTTAGATGGTTAAAAGCTGAACAAAGGCTAACGTGGTCTATGTACAGCAATTATTAAATCTAAGACTAAATTAAAATCGATTGTACAACACTTGTTAAGCATCAAACTGTTACCTGGGTAGTTCAACATCCGTGAATCAGTATGCCTCTGCACCTTCACGGCTGCCGCAGAAAGGACGTTTTTATTGGTGTGAAGGGTAAAGTAACCCTGGTAAGTAGTAATTCACTTTGGAAAGTGATGCGATCTTTTGAACTACCAAAGTAATGTAGAGGAACCTGGGGCCTCCCTTAGCTCAGTCGGTAAAGGCGCAGCTACAAAGCAAGACCATGCTGGAGGTAGCTGGGTTAAATTCCCGGTCCGGTCTAGGAATTTTTCGGGTTGGAAAATTTCTCGACTTCCCTGGGCATAGAAGTATGATTGGACTTGCCACACAATTATACCAATGCAAAAATGGTACAGGCATCGAAAACTCTCAATTAATAACTGTGGAAGTGCATCTAGAACACTAAGTTGAGAGCACGCAATAAGCTAATATGCGATATGCAATAAGCTTGAAATGCGAAGAAGAAGAAGGAACCTGGGATACAACCCACAATCTTCTGATCAGTTAGCCAAAACAGACACCTTTAGGCCACCGAGCCCCTAGCATCATAACATACCACTGTGACAGACAAGCGTTTAAGCCAGGCGACCGAATGAAATTATGGCTCCGAGAAGAGTTAACTATGTTTACGAACTCGGAGAGCAGACGACCCATTTTACCGATAATGCCACTGTTTTCCACAACGTTCCGACTATCAGTTTTCCACGATTTCTTCTACCAGAAACAACATTTCAGCCATTCCATTGAATTCTGATTAGAATTGAACCTAGAATCCTCATCCAATCATCATAGAATTCTTCTCAGAATTCTCATTAAAATGCACTCTCTATTATATTGGAATTATTTCCAAAATTGTTTCGGAGCTGACTCGTATATGTTAAGCCAAGTTTAACTATATAGGTAAATCGGCTTAAGCTATAAGCGAAGATGAAGAAATCGGTCCTGAGAGTACTTAATTTTACATGAGACTTTCGTAGTCTGTACTTTGGTGTTCTTCTCTGATATATCTTGGTGTCATCCCTAGAATCCTTTAAAATTCTCCTAAAATTTACTTTGGATTTTTTAAAGTTCTTAATCATCCTTGAAAGCCTTTTGAAAATAGGCTACTACTTGAATTCCTCTAAATTTGTTTAATATTCCGGCAAAATTTTCTGAAATATATCCATAATATCCTAACACTTTTGACGCTTTTGGATCAATCATAGAATTCTTGGAATAACCCATAGTTCCACGGAACTTCTTATAAGTCTGTTTAAGTTAATGATATTATTGTGAAGCTATCTCTATCTGATCGTCCTCGAAGTACTCGGAACTTCGCTGAATATCATGAAACTATCTAAAAATATCTAAATTTATTAGAAGTTCTCTGGGATTTCTTGAAGATATCGCTGTTTGCTAAAAGTTCTCGCTCCATTGATGCTCTCTAATCAACTAAGCAAATTTTTTGATTTTTTTTAAGTTCTTGAAATCTCCATCTTAAAATACTCTCACGTTTTCCGGATGTTCATATAATTTTTATCGCGTTCCAGAAATTCTCTCAGAGCTTTGGTTAAGTTTCCGCAATTTCCCTGAGTTTCTCAAATTTCCTTGAAATTATTTGAACCACCGTTTGATTCTCTGATCTGTTTTGATGTTCTCGAAGCTTCCCTAAGGCTCTTCTAATGAAGATCTCGGTTATGCTAAGAAATAAACACCTTTAACTTTCCCAGAAATTCTCTGGACTTCTGTTAAGTTCCTGAAATATTTCTATAGTTTTCATAAATTCCTTGAAGGTCTCTGTACTTCCCTGAAATTCTCGGAACATCTTAAGGGTTCTCGATGTTTTTTTCAGCAAATCATGGAACTATCCTGAATTAGCCTAAATTTACGATTATAGATCTTTCAACTGCTCCAAAAGTCTGAACTAAAGACATGGGAACTGCTCTTAAGATCTGAAATTCCCTAAAGATCTCCAGATCTAGCTTTTCTGAGGTGCTTAGAACTTCTTAAAAAAAAATGCACAATACCCCTCAAGTTTTCTATATTTCTCAAGTTCGATGTGAAGTTCTCTGAAATTCTTGGAACTTCATCAAAGTTCCTGAAACGTCTCGGATGCTAAAAGAACTGCTTTGAGGTTCTTAAAGCTTCCAGTAAGTTCCCCTATATTTTCAGCGTGTTAACTTCCCTTATGTTCCCACAGTTTGTTTATGGAGCTTCACTGAAATTCCAAAGAACTTCTCCAAAATCCCTACAATTGTTGTGAGGATAATGGGACTGCAATGAAGATCTCTAATCTTTCATAAAGTTAATTACGATCTTGAAATAAATCATTTATTTTTTCCTTAATTCTGGCATTATGAAAATTTTCAATATCTTGAACTTGAACGAAACTTCAAGGCATTGCATATTTTTAGATCATGGACTTACTTACTTGGAAAACTCAGGTAATTTTATTTAGAAAACTGAGTAGACACCCTGTACATAGAGAAAGATGGTTAAACGTCACAAAGCAAAGAATGATCAATATTGAAATAAATTTACCCTAAAAAAGTTGAAAATAGTGACTGATTACAAGAAAAAAGTGACTTTAGCTACTTGGCCTTAAAAAAGGAGACTTTTTAGTGACTCGCTTAAAAAAAGTGACCAAGTCACTAAAAAGTGACTCGCTACCAGCCCTGCGATTGGCATGAAACTTTGCATAATTGTTTGTTATGGGAAATCATTCACATTTTTGCCAAAATTTATATTTATGGTTGGAATCAATCTCTCCCTGGTTCACGAAAAGCTCATTAATTCTCATTTCAATCCATTTTAAAAACATAGTGATCACGTTACTCACGCTTCAGATACGAGAATTTACACGGTTCAGGTTATCCGCACCAAAAATGGTTTAACATCCAGTAATACTGTCTAATATAAATAAACTACATATAGGGTTAACTACCCCATTTCCGGCCTATAAAGCACAACCCGCATTTAGTCTTTCTTAATCTAGCGCAGTTTAGTACCAAACGGAATATTATTATTACTGATAGCTTCCAAATTTATTTACCTTTCCGTAAGAATTGATAAAGAGAAACCAATCGTTGAGATATTGTCAAAAGTCTAACACTGCTTCTTGACGCCAAACTCGGCCTACGGATTCTAAACTCGGCCTAACGCATTGAAACGCTATTGAAACGCAAATGAATTCACTTCGGCCTATCGGATGAAGATAAAATTTGATTCGGTCGGAGCGCTTCTTTTGTTTTTGGGAATAATGGGTGCAAACCTACATATCACGCGTTCTCATTGACTTCGTTCGGTAGCTTATTAACTTAAGTATCGTACGAAACGCATAATTTAATTGTTAACTCTGAAATCATGGATTTATTTGAAGTTTGCTGCTCCATAGGCCCAAAATGGGCGATTAGGCCGAAGTAGTTCTCTACCCTAATCAATCCTCGTGTTGACGAAACAACCATACATTTGTGACCCGGTTTGAAATAGTGTTTAAGCCGCTTACAGAATCCTCAAATTAAGCTCGCCTTCAGAAATCAAGGACATGATGGATCTTAAGATTCATGACGTTTAAGGTTGCGTAAACTCAAACAATCGTCCAAACTTTCGGCAGCAGTGAAATTTCAAATTGATACACGAACAAAAAAAGGCCTCTGGAGATTTTCACCTTAACTATTATCATCACATTACCCAAGCATTTTCAACCACACTGTTCAAGCTTTCCAGTTATTCGATTCACATAAAACTGACTAATAATAATTGTAGTTCCGGCGAACTATCAACTCCTCCTCGAATCTTCCTTAGCAAGATGAAAGGCAAACTTAAACCTATCACCAACGAAGAAGCATCTCAACTGAGTCGGCTCGGCTGAACAAAAGCAAATGCTGCGGCCTCCCATTTAGGTTCAATTCCTTGGTGGGATTTCCCCATATTAGGCTTTTGTCATGAACTGTACGTACACCAGAGCGTAGGAGTAGATGTCGCTGCCGATCCTTTTGCCATTGTCGTCACTGCCGCCACCACCGCCGTCTGACCAGCAGCGGCCCTTATCAGCCGTCTTCCTATGGGTTCCGTCAATTATTTTGCTCCCTTTTGGAGCCAGCTTTCCTTGTACGGATTCTACAACCACAAAAGCCGTCCACAAATTGCTTAGAAAAGTCCCAGCACAAAGCAGAAACGATTTTCTGGGTCGAGCATTGAACATCATTCCCAATCGGTGCTTTCCTAAGGTAGAACTTTCTACCGGATAACAATACTTGGCGCATGATTCAGACAATCAGATGATTGCATGTCGCTTTTCCGACAGACCAAATATGCCACAACCCAAGTAACATTGCAGGTTTTATCAGCAGTCTTCAAGTCCTATAATAAAACTAAAATTGCCACTTGGGAATGGTCACATCTACCACCGCCCTCGCCATCACATCACGACGTGACTCGAAAGCGACGAGCCCCAGCCTCCCAAAGGGGTTCCAAAACGTAATTAATAATTACTGCCTTGTTTGGGACATGCTGGGCAGCGCAGTACCTACAGGTAATCCCGCGAGCTGATATGCCCGTATGAATGGACGGAGCGAGCCCCGATTGCATGAATGAAAGAGTGATTGAACGTTGTTCGTCCTAAACCAAACCAATCGAGTCGATTAGACAACCCATAGTGCCCTAACCAGTTTCATGTTTGTTCGGAGGCCCTGAATGGAAGGCAGCAGCCCAAACAAGCGTTAGAGAAAAAACGACGACGACGAGTTGCAGCAAGGTGGAGAAAACAACGGCAGAATGACGCGCGCGATGGAGGGACAACGAGAATGACTGAAAATTAGTTTCATTCATGGATGGAGGCTCCATACCGGGAAAGGAGACATGCTTGCGAACACGTAAAACCTCATTTGGCAGGTATGAGCCCGTACCCCCCGTAATGTGAATGACTCAGAAAAAGGCCGAGATATCTCCCATATGCTGAATGGACGGTCATATTTGCTCTGACAGCGGTACGTGACGGAACGTTTTCAGAGTGATGATGATTGTTAAGGTTTAGACGAGTCCAACCTACCTCCCTCCCACCCTAAGGTGTCTACGTACTTTGTGGACAGTCCCGAAGCTTAAGCTCTTATTCAACTTCCAATGTTTGTCGGGGTATGTTTAGGTTTATTGGTTTCCCAAGCTACTTTCCAAATTCCAGGTCATAAGCCCTAACTTACCTAAACTAAAACGATGCCACGAGGATGTACACGCGGAGAACAGCAACCTGAAAGAAAACAATTTAAATTAGTATTCATGTTTCTACGGTTGATCGACTTTAAGTCAAGTAATTAATTGTTTTTTTTTGGAAAAATGAGCTACTGATGAGCAAACACACATCCCACTTTATGGAGTTCGTGGGTTCAAATCCCACCGGTTCACAGTGGGGCGTATCAACGTTTTAGTGCCTAGGTGTTTCCAGAGAAGATTCTTCAAATTTCATTCTGCATCTTTTGAAATATGCACCTGAATTTTTATTAAGGGGGTATTACACTTAGAAAATTTAACTTTTTGTAGCTGCGAGATAATGGGTTTATGTCTTCTGTAAAGTTGTAGAGAATCAAATTTTAAGAAACTTTGCTGAACACATCGAATCTCTTCATCTTTACCCCAGAGAGATATAGTTAGTTTTCTTTCAGGACTACCTTAAAATTGTTTTTTGAGTTTTTCTAATACTTAAGTACATTATATCAATCCAACTTGCAGCAATCGTACGCATTGGATGCCTGTTGGAGGAGCCACTGGAGTGTAGGAACAAAGATCTGAACAGTTACGTGAAAATCGTTCAAGTGTTCAAGGTATGCCATAATTTTCAAATATTATTATTAATTACTGATAAGTTTTATGTCCATTCTTTTATGCATACAGAGAGACCAGCAACCATGTTGTATTCATAAGGTTGCTGATTACTTCTGATTCGTACATCGCAAGTTTGCGACAACAGCGAAAGAAGAAAACACAGCTATTGACAGTTACTACAAAATCAGCCAGAAGCAAACTCTAATAATAGCGACTCATAAGCAGAAACTGAACATATTAATATTTAACTTTAAGTATATTGCTATAATCCATGTTCAACAAATTAAAGCTTTAACCCATTTTTTCCTCGTTTTTTTTTAAATTATATATATTGTACTATATAAAATAACTATAACACATACGTTAATAAAGGTATAAACTCAGTATAATGAAGCATTATTTGAAAAACATGTAAATATCGCTTAAATGGTTATTTATTAATTAATTTATTTGTACAGGCTCAATCGAATAAACTTTACAGAGCCAAGTTATCATTTGCGTTATACATAATTGATGTCCTAAATCTAGATTTAAAGGAACTGAACCGATTATTCGCGGTCATCTCGAGGTTAGTAGAGATTTACAGTTTTATGGATGGGGAGAAGGAGGGGGAGGTTTGAGTTATGATTTACGATACAAATATTTCATTATTCCTAAAACATGAACTTATTCCTATTCAATTTGGTATCCACAGTGTAATTATACAATTATTACAGAAACAAATATTTAAAAAAAAAAACCCACACGAACAAAACAAAAACTAAACACAAGGTTAGTCAAACTTACAATCTAAGATTAATATTCTTAAAGAAAACATATATAAGTTTCATAAACTCCAGATCACGTCTACCCAAAATATCTCGAACTGGAACATTAGGTTGTCTACCTCGAGCCCGAAGGGAATCGTACAGTTCAGATCTGACTCCGCGATGCTCAGCACAAGACCAAATAATGTGATCTGCGTCCTGGTAACCTTGTCCACATTCACAGAGATTGCTGTCTCCCAGCCCAACACGGAACAAGTGAGCGTTTAACGAATAGTGATTGGACATGAGGCGAGACATCATACGAATGAAGTCTCGACCCACATCCAACCCCTTGAACCAAGAACTCTTCGACACCTTAGGGATGATCGAATATAGCCATCGTCCCAAACTCCCTTCACTCCACTTATTCTGCCAGCTGACGAGTGACTGTTGACGATAAATGAAGAAAAATTCATCGTAGGCGATTTGTCGATCGTAAATATCGCCTTCCATAGCGCCCACCTTAGCAAGTGAGTCCTCCATCTCATTGCCCGGAATCGAGCAATGAGATGGGACCCATGCAAAGGTGATGACAAAAGATCTTAAAGATAAAGCACTTAGAAGCTCTCGTATTTTCATGAGAAAATACGAGGAGTGCTTTACCGGCCTCATGGAGCGAATAGCCTCGACAGAACTGAGACTATCCGTAAAAATAAAATAATGATCTGGTGCAAGTGAAGTGATCGTTTCTAGCGTATAATGTATTGCCGCCAGTTCAGCAATATATACGGAACAGGGAGCTTGAAGCATTCGAGAGGCGCTATGAAATTCGTTATAAATACCAAAACCAGCGGACGCCTCTATTAGTGATCCATCTGTGAAGAACGATCTTGCGGAATCAACTTGGCCAAACTTTGCAGCGTAAATTGACGGAACAATCATGGAACGATGATGTTCTGGGATCCCACGAATCTCCCGCGTCATCGATAAATCAAAACTAACTGAATTGCCGAAGTCGGAGAAGCATACACGATGAGGATTATGCTGTGAAGGGCTGACATCCTGAGTTATGTACACGTAGTACAATGACATAAAACGAGTTTGAGGGTTTAGCTCAAGAAGCTTCTCAAAGTTTTCGATTACCAGTGGGTTCATAACTTCACAACGGGTGAGAAGCCTGAGGGACAATTCCGAAAACCGATCCGATAGTGGCAACATGCCCGCCAACACTTCGAGACTCATCGTATGAGTCGAGTGCATGCATCCTAACGCGATACGAAGACAACGATACTGGATACGTTCCAGTTTGATGATGTGAGTTTTAGCCGCCGACTGGAAGCAAAAACTACCGTACTCCAAAACCGATAAAATCGTTGTCCGGTACAACGTTAGAAGATCTTGCGGATGAGCTCCCCACCACGTTCCGGTAATTGTTCGGAGAAAATTGATCCTTTGTTGGCATTTTCGTCTCAGATACTCAATGTGGGATCTCCAGGTGCATTTGGAATCGAACCAGACCCCAAGATATTTGAAAGACATGGACTGAGTGATCGGCTTACCCAAAAGTTGAAGCTTCGGTTGTGCTGGGCTATGCTTCCTAGAAAAAACGACCAACTCAGTTTTCTCCGAGGAGAATTCGATACCTAGCTCGATAGCCCAAGTAGACAAATTATCTAAGGTATCCTGTAAGGGTCCTTGCAGGTCGACCTCTTTGAGCCCTGTCATTGACACTACTCCGTCATCTGCAAGTTGTCTTAGCGTGCAGTTGTCACTTAGACAATTGTCAATTTCTCTGACGTAGAAATTATACAAAAGGGGGCTTAAACATGAGCCCTGGGGGAGACCCATGTAACTAAATCGAGAAGCTGTAGAGTTTCCATGAGAAAAGCTCATATGTTTCTCTGACAGCAAATTGTACAAAAAGTTATTAATTAATGGAGAAAGGCCACATGCGTGGAGTTTGTCTGAAAGGACTTCAACCGATACTGAATCAAAAGCCCCCTTAATATCCAAGAAGACAGAAGCCATTTGCTCTTTTTTAGCAAAAGCCAACTGAATTTCTGTGGAAAGCAACGCGAGACAGTCGTTCGTTCCCTTGCCCCTACGGAAACCAAATTGAGTATCTGAGAGTAGGTGGTTCGTCTCAACCCATTTGTCCAAGCGAAAAAGGATCATTTTCTCCAACAATTTTCGAATGCACGATAACATCGCGATGGGACGATACGAGTTATGATCTGATGCGGGTTTTCCAGGCTTTTTAATGGCTATAACTCTCACCCGCCTCCAATCATCCGGAACAATATTAAGCTCCAGGAACTGACCAAACAAGTTCAACATGCGCCTCTTAGCGACGTCTGGGAGGTTCTTCAACAAGTTGAACTTGATTCTATCAGCCCCGGGAGCCGAATTGCCACACGAAAGGAGCGCGAGTGAGAGCTCCAGCATTGAAAAAGGCTGGCTGATCTCGTCTACCGAATTCGTCGTTTCGCGAGGAATCATCTGTGCCGGCACGGAATCAGGACATACTTTTCGTGCGAACTTAAGAATCCAACGATCTGAGTACTCCTCGCTCTCGTTGTTCGAAGACCGGTTACGCATCCTTCGCGCCGCGTTCCACAGCGTATTCATCGACGTTTCGCGCGATAATCCGTCCACGAATTGCCGCCAGTATCCGCGTTTCTTGGCTTTGAGTTCGCGTTCAAGAGTCGAGTACGCTTCGAAATACACGGGTGTTCCACGTTTCCGGAAAAGCTTAAACGCGTCGGACTTTTTACGATAAACCTCTGTGCATTGGTGGTCCCACCAAGGGGAAGGAGGTTTCCTACGCAAAGACGTTCCAGGAACCGGCCGAGTTTGAGCTCGAAGCGCGCTGTCCAAGATCAGACTGGAGAGGAAGTTATATTCCTCCAACCGACGACACGGCTTCCTCTATCGCGGTCTTGAACGTTGTCCAATCGATATTACGGATGAGGTCGTAGCGACGTTAACGGATTCCGACGGATTGAACCCACTGGCAATCGAAATTTTGATCGCCAAGTGATTACTACCGTGGGGATCTTGGATCACATTCCACGTGCAATCCAACGATAATGAGTTAGAGCAAAGTTTGAGGTCTAATTTACTTCCATTTGAGGATGGACCAGCCAAACGTGTTACTTCTCCATTATTAAGAATTGTCATATTGAAGTTGTCACAGAGGTCATATATCATAGTAGAACGGTTGTCATCATACAGTTCCCCCCAGCCTGTACCGTGGGAATTGAAATCTCCCATGATCAACCGTGGAGCAGGAAGTACCGAACATATATCTGAAAGTTGTTTTCGATTAACAACGGCTCTAGGAGGAATATAAACAGAAACAATACAAAGGCTCTTACCTTTAAAAATAGCCTGACATGCGATAACTTCAATACCTGTAAATTGTGGAAGATTCACTCTATAGAAGGAATGGCACTTTTTGATCCCCAAAAGTACCCCTCCTCCACGCGAATCCTCACGATCCAGTCGAACAATGTTAAAATCATAAAAAGGAAGATCTATATCTGAAGAGAGCCAAGTTTCACAAAGAGCAAATGCATCACAATCATTATTGTGAACTAAAAACTTAAAAGAGTCTAATTTTGGAATAAGGCTTCGGCAATTCCACTGTAGAACAGTGATCAAATCCCCGACCTCGTTTGGA